GGGAGAGATATATAAAACCCTGAAAGAAAAAAAATGCCACCCAATAATACTCTACCCAGCAAAGCTGTCAATCAAATACAATGGTGTAATCACAACATTCCAAGATAAACAGAAGCTAAGGGATTTAGCCAAAGCCAACCCTACTATGAAAAACATCCTAAGGAAGTTCTGTGGACTGAGAGCCAACAAGAACAGACAACAACTAGAGAACAATGTACATGGAAGCATCACCCTGAACTCAATCGACAAATGGAAGAGTCAAGAACAGAATAAAAGTATAAGAACAGAAGATCTGGGAGGTCAGTCTACGATCCAAACAATTACAATGTGAAAGAAGGTAAACACAGAAGAGCAGAGATCCAGGTGGTGGGAAGGTCAGGTAGATTACAGGATAAAATAGACTGCTTTAAATGGAAGGAAGAATTAATGGAGTATAAGGTAACCACAACAATGGGGTTGGGTGGAGGGTTTAGTTTGGGTGTTGGGGAGGACAATACAAGAAGGGGGAGGAGGCGGGAGAACAAGACAGACAGGGGAACACTGAGACAGGTTTGCAAGTCTTAAGTGGGTCAGAGACATATAGTGATGCATGCTCAACCTTGATAAAACAGGGCTCTGGGATACAGGTACAGTTTGAAGAGGGGAAATAATATTAAAATGCTTGACTGTCTATGAATATTAGTTTCCCTTGCTTACTAATATAAAATAGACACTTGAGTGGGATAGAAAGGAATGTTGGGAAACATGATTACAGAAAACTTGCATGCCAGTCTTTCAGCCTATAACTGACTGGAATGCCTAAAAGGGGTTCTAGAACTTGCCCAGTGAAATAGGCCTCTTGCAAAGCGCTTACAGAGTATAGGAACATAGGTGGAATCCTGAGTCCCATCCAGAACCTTCTGAGGTTGTCCCACTAGCAAGGACAAGCAGACCAGCCTGGAACAGCTACCCTGACAGAAGACACATCTTCAATGAAAGATCATCAAGAAAAACCCAAAACAAAAATATCAGCATGACTGGCTACTACAAGAATAAGCAGGATGTTCGCCAGGAAGCCATCAAGGCAAGCAATCAAGTTCCTTCAGGACAAACTCCCCTCTAAGACTGAAACTCAAAGGGAACACACAAACAAGCACGTAAGCTTGCTGGCGACCACAATGGTCTACTGGTGAGTGGAAGACGGGTAAAGGCAGCAATGAAGAAATGGGCTGAGTTCAACCACACTCCATTGATTCCCATTGACCTGGAGATGAGAGAGAGAGAAGAGGAAGGGCTGGTTGGTTCAAAGTGTGGTGAGACCTGAGGACACTTGAGCCCATGGACAAGGATATAGCTAGCCTCTGAGAGCTAGAGCTGAGAGTGAAGCATCCAGCTGATATGAAGTGAGGGGAGAGGCACAAGAACACCCAAACTTGCAGACAGTACCCATATGACCTAGCCTCAATGGCTCGATAATAAGAACTTGACTAGAGGAAGACTACAAAAAAACAAAAAACAAAAAAAAAAATTTTTTTTTTTGATAAAGGACAAGGGTAAATTGCTACAATTTAATTGTACTCAGAGCAGTAGTTACTCTAAATACCAACAGAGAGGGAA